CTCTTCCTCCTGTCCCTCGTCTTACTTGCTCCCTTCTTTGTGTTTCTCGTCTTGTTCTCTTATTCTCTCTGCATTTCCGTTCATTCTCCCTATTTCTTCTTACCTTTTTCATTATTCTTTCTTCCTGCCTTCATATGTCGTGTACTTATCTCTTGCTCTCTTCCTTTTTCTGCTTACAATTTTTTGCCAGTTATATCTCTCTACTTTGTTCTCTCTGTTGCTTTGCTTGTTTCCTTTTTTCTCTTTTCTTATCTTATCCTTACTGTCTTTTCTATCTGTTCCTATCCTCTCTCTCTTTCTTCTCTACTTTACTTCTCTCTTCTATATTGTTGCTTACTTACTTTTTTCTTACTTGCTTCTTATCTTCTTGTGTGTCTTGATTCTCTTCCAGCTTCCGCTTAACTTTTTCCTATCTCTTTCCTTCTTTTCCTTATCAGTTGCTACCTTGGTGCTTTCTTCTCTCGCTTTCTTTCTTCCTTATTCACTTTTAGTTGTCCCTTATTGCATTCCTCTTTTCCTCTCGCTTTTCCTCTTCTCCATTCTCTTGCTTGTATTCCCTATATTGTCATCCTATTTGATTTCTCTGACTTGCCTTTATGTTACATTCCTATCTTTTTTTTGCTCTGTCATGTATATCGTTGCCTTGTTTTTATTCTTTCCGTTGCTCTTTGTTTTGTCCTCCTATTGCGACTTCTCCCTTGCTCCTACCTTTTGTTTTCTCTTCTTTACTCCCTTTTGTCTTCCTGAATCCTGTTCTGTCTTCTATCCTGACTCTTGACTATATCGTCCATTTCGTTGCTTTTTATGCTTTATTTTTCCTGCTGTTGTTTCTTTCTTAATAGACTATTTCATTTCTCTTGCTTTTTCCTTCTGCTTGGTTCTGCGGCTTCTCTGCTATCTTCTTCTCCATGTTTTGCCCATTCTCCTGTTCTTCATTCTTGGCTGTTTTTTTTCCTTCCGTATGTTCCTTTCTCTTGAAAGTCCCTCTTTCGTCCTTTATATGCCTTTCTCTTCTTTCTCGCTCACTTTCCTTCTAGTTCTTCTTTTCCCATTTCTTTATCCCATCTACTAGTTCATCTCGCTTTTTCCTTCTTTCCTCTTTATTTTCTCATTTCCTGCTTTTCCTGTCTCTTTTGTTCTTCGTTCTGCCTCTATCATTTTCTTTTTCTCGCTTCGCTTCTCTTCTCCTACTATGTCGCCTTATTCTCTATTTCCTCGTCCCTGTCTCCATTTATTGTTTTTGTTTTCCTTCTGATATCCTTGTTTTCTCATGTCCTTCTGTTCCTTATTCTCTCTTCCTTATTACTCTTCCTGGTTCAGTTCTTCACTTGCTCTACTTTCTTCCCTTCTTATTCCTTGTTCCCTTAATATTTTTTCTTGTCTCTGCTTGCCCTGTTGCCTTGCTTATTGCCTTATTTCCCATCTTTATCTCTTTCTCGCGTTTTCCCTCTTTCCTACTTTGTTACATCTCTCCTATATCAATCTCTCTTATTTGTTTTCCTGTCTGTCTCGCTCTTTTCCTTTTCTCTCTCCTATTTTCATTCTCTTGTTGTTTTCCTTCTTCCCTTACTCTACTTTCTTCTCCTTCTAGTTAATGACTTGTGCTTTATCTTACTCCTGTAGTTAACTGTTCTACGTCATTGTTCTTGCTCCTCATTTTCTCACTTATTTACTACTCTATCTTTTTGTCTTTTCTTCACTGTCGTTTCCTATTATTATTTTCTACCTTGTCTTTCATTTTCATGTCTTTACCGTCATTAACTCGTCTCTGCTTCCTTATTTCTTCTATTAGTCTCTCGTCCCGTCTCTCGTTGTTGTCATCTCTTTTGCTCTTCTGATTTCTTTTCTCGATTTTCATATTCCTGATGCCCTTCTATTGTTTCCTTTCCGTTTTTTTTTTCTTTCTTCCTTTTCCTTCTTTGATTTTCTGTCTTCTCATCGTTTTTCCTTTTCTCGTGTCTCTCTCCTCTCGCTTCCTTGCCTTATGTCTCTGTCCTAATTGTGGTATCCTTATCTCGCTTCTTCCTTGTCCTTTCTTATTCTTAGTCTCTATGTCTTGCCTCCCTGTTATGCTTGCTTTGCTTCCTGTATTATTCTTACTTCTTTGTGTTTTCTCTTTTTGTTATGTCCTTCCTTACTACTTTCTTATATCATGACTTAATAGTCTAGTTCTTCTTGTTTCTACTTGTTACTCACTTGATTCCTATTACTTTTTCTTCATTGTTTCTTTCCTTTCTCTCTTCTTATTGCCTTCTTCTTCGTGTTGCTACCTTCTGCCTTATCTCTCGCTAATTCTTTCTATTGTCCTTATCTTCCTTTCCTTCTGTTGTACGATCTTCCTCTTCTTGTACTCCGTTGTTTACTAGTCTCTTGCTTGTCTATTGCTTAATTCTAGTGTTTGCTATTATTTCTGGTGCTTTCTTCCCTAATTTTTCCTACCTTGCTCTTTATTTGCCGCTTGTCTTTTCTTTTTTCTTTCATCATATCTCCTTATTTCGCTACTCTGTACATTGTCTTATCTCTTGCTTTTTCCTCTCTTCTTTTCCTGCCTAATTCCAGCTTTTCTTCTCGTCTTCCATTTTCTGATCGCTGCGTCTTTTCTGTACTAATTCTTACCTACGTCGCTTCGTTTAGATTGTGATTGTAATATTTCATTTCCCTCTTGTCATTTTTGTTGTATTTCACATCTTTTTTCTCTTTTGTTTGCCCCTCTTCTTCTTTATTGCTGTATTCTTTCCTCTATATCTCTCACTATCTCGCTTTTTTCTGCTTTGTTTCATCTCTTTATCTTTTTTTCTTCCTTTTGTTGCTTATTCTTCTCTGATTTCTTACTTTTCTTCTCTTCCTTTTTCTGCCTTTTACTTCGTCTCTTTTGTTTGCCTTATTATGTCCTTTACATTCTTATCTATCACTACTTTTTTTTACTTTTCCATTACTTCTTTATCTCTCGATCTTTGTCGTTTTCGCTTCTTCCCTTCTAGTTTTTGGTTTTGTTGCTTTCTAGTTGTCTTCCTCTCACTTATCTTGCCTTCTTTCCCTCGC